CAGTCAAAGGGGTATGGGAGGTGGGAGAGAGTCCAGGGCAGAGCAAACAGCTTGCACAGGGATAGGCAGAGGGGGCAGCTGAGGACCTAAATGAGAGGCAGTGAGGCTGGGCTGCAGAGAGGAGAGGAAGCCTAAGGTGAGATGACCTGGAGACAGAGACCACACAAGTCATGGTGGCCACATTAGTGTTTGATCTTTATCCCAACAGCCATGTGAAGCCAGTAAAGGATCTAAAGAGGTGAGCTGGTCAGATTTGTGCTTCTAAAAGTGTACTCTGGCTGCTGTGTGGAGAGCAGCTCAGAAGGAGAGAGGATGGCTGTAGAGTGAGGAAGGGCAGGAAATGGAAGCCATGAGGGTGGCCCGCTCTCTGGAGGGTACCTGGAACAAGAAGGAGCATCGCAGGACAGGAAGCGGAGAAAAATGTGCAGTCCAGAACTGGTTTAGGAAATGGGAGAGACTGGAGCATGTTTACAAATCAACAGGAAGGAAGCAGTTAAGAGAGAGGCTGAAGAGGCAAGAAGAAAGGGATGATTGACCTTGAGACCTTCCCGGAAGGTGACAGGCATCAGATACAGAAATGCACACTGTCTGCCCTGCGAAGGAGGACGTGAGGTCATCTGCTGAGAGGATGGGGTGGGTGGTGGTGAGTATGAGGAGACAGGAAAAGACCTGAAAAACACCTTTGGGAGACTGAGCTCAACAGAGGACAAGCTCTGGTTTTAAACGAAAATCTTCCAGAACAATACCTCTCCCTGTTTCCCTTTAAATTCATCAGTGGGAGCTTCAGTGTCATTTAGGATAAAGTGATTTTTCCAAGGGCAGAAAGCAATGGAACTGTTCTGGAAAGCAATGACATCGAGTCATATCTTTCATGAGTTGGAGGAAGCTCTGATTTCACGTGGATCAGCATTTTCAAAAGATCATGTTTGTCAGAGGAAAGATGTAATAGATCTTTCCAAGAATCATGTCAAAAACAGATTTATAGCGTTAATAAATAAAAACAGGTTTAATTTTTCCCATTTCATTAATCCACTATGAAATACGAGCATATTGATTTTCTAGTTGTCTAGAGACTAAATATATTATTAATGGCTACTTTTATTTTTTCATGTAGTGCTTTTCAGCTGTTAAAAATGTCATGCTGGATCTATCATAGAAACCTTGTGAACACTTATTACCATTGGACATTATATTTTTTATAAATTTATTTACTTATTTATTTGACTTCTCCACTGGAATGTTGGCTCTGGGATGGCCAGATCTTCCCTGTCTTGTTGCCTCCAACTTTTAAACTAGGTGGGCAAATAACAGGTCTTCAATACATGTTTACTGAAGGAATGAATAAATCTTAAAGATTACCTGATGGAACTAATGGGTCTCTGTTTAGGCCTAACCTGCTCACCTGATATGGGCTGCAGGAGTAAGTCTAGCTTGGGAGGGACTGAGGGCAGTGCACCGTATGCATGAGATGGGTGACCCATAAGATTCTGTGAACCACGTGAATTTCCAATGTACTGTTTATATGGCAAACTACACTGGTCCATGCAGTGGAGATGTTTCATAGGTAAAAGTTTTACACTAGAAATTCTGGAGCCTAGCACATGTCTTGTACACTGTAGATATTGCATATTATGTCTGACATAATCAAAATTCTGAAAATAAGTACGCTTAGAATTAGTTGAAGATAGAACCAGTTACTCAGAAAGCTCCTGAACAAAATCCTAGTGAAGTTCTAGCTGAGGTTTTCAGTCTTGGCTGAGACTGAAGATAACGCAGTGAGCTTGAAACACTGTCTGTACTGGGCCCACTTCCAGAGACGGAAGTGACACAGGACACTGGGATTTTTTTTTTTCCCCAAAGCTCCCTACATAATTCCAGTGTGTAGTCAGGATTGCGGATGGCAGATGATAACCATACAAGGGTGTTAGGTGGTAGGTAGAAGCCAATGCTAATGACCTCCCAGTCACCTAACACAATCAGGAGGCCATGAAGGCACCAGGAGGTTTCTCCATACCTGAGGTGGAACTAAATTTTCTAGGTGGCGTGTAGAAGAAATCTCATTGTTTTATGATCGCAGCTTTACAGGTTTGAATACCATCTCATAAACGGTCTCCTGTCTGCTTGCCTTCAGGTTTATCAAAAGAAAACCTTAGTTTAAATGGAGATCCTAATCATATTAAAGTGACTGATTTTAACACTTCTACGAAGTGTCTTGGGGGCCCATGAAATGCTTTAAGATTGAACTAGTTACAACATTGAGAACGTAAGACGTGCCAGGCATGGAGCCACACTTTGGGACCACAGCGATACAGGAGTATTGTCTCCATGAGGTCCAGCAGGAGGGTGGCTTTGTAAACCATCAACCGAATGCAACGTGGGAAGCACTGTGACCGAGGCCCAGATGAAAGGCGTGGCGAGTCACAGAGGGCCCAGGACCAACACCTGCTTCACACGTAGGAGACAGTTATTCCTGGCAGATGATTCTCCTTTGAAAATGACACTTGAGGATTTCAAAGCCCTGAGCTGGCCCACTTAGAATCGTGTCAGCCTGCTCCGCCCGCGGGGTCGTCGGGAGAAAAGGAAAGAAAGTGGAATTGTGTTCTGTTCTACAGGGTTCTCCACGTGCCTTTGCTTTTTCCCTCCATTTGCATTAAGCACCTATGAGATCCAAATTTGAGGACATATCGAGGAGCACAGAGCACAGACCGAAGGACATAAAAGAAAGAAAGGATAGGATGCAAAGGAGTGAGCCCATTCCATTCTGGAACTTTCCTGAGAAGGCGATTTGGATTAAAAAAACTACCGTTAACACCGTTGCTTTTAAGCTTTCTTTCCTGCCTGCATTCCTGGAGAAAAAGTTTTAGAAAAATTTGCAAAGAGAAGATGAAAAGGATAGGCGGACGCCTTCTGCGTTGCTCTCTTAGCTATAAGCTTCCTGAGTAGTTTCAAAGACACAGGTTCTAACACCTGCCTCAAAAGGCGCTAATGATTCTGTGTTTAATCCTGCCACCCTGTTTTCTCCCTTGTCTTCAGTGGCTGGCATATTTTTAGAAAAGACACAACCAAAGACTTGATTGAGAATACAAAATAATGATGGTGAAAAAGCTCCAAATGAGATGGATGAGATTTTTTTCCTTTCGTCTTCCTCGCGGATAAAAAACGTTTACCTGTGTCAGCAAAGAGAAGTAAAAATCTGCTTCCAGACAGGGAAAAAAAAAAACAGTTTTTTTTTGCAGGACATGCTGTTCATATTCTGACAACCATTTCTTTCTACTGGCTGTTGTAACAGCACTGCAGAATATCATTTCTCATTCTAATGACGTACATTGTTCGTCTTAACTGTATAAAACGGCATAGGCAGGACTCATCCTTCAAGCTTCCTGGGAGGAAGCTGATGCTTTCTCCCTCTCTCGTTACATCAAATTCTGGGCCTGGTATAAATAGAAAAGGGAGTAGAGGGCATATCCTCTGAGTGCAGAACTAGTCTATACAATCAAAGATGACTTTCCAATGTTTTAACCATTAGGGGAAGATGATCGTGAACCTTTAATTTCTAAGGATCCAGAATTAAAATGGCCACAATTTTCAGAAATACATTGGTCTTTCCAGTTCCTAATATATCCAGCCCTGTGGGGATGCCGAAACCAAAAGACTCAAACCTTAACAGAATCTTTGGTATATGTCCAAAAATACATCCTATTTCTGCTCTTCACTAGGCCAGATATTTAAGCAACTTTCTCCGTTCCGGGTGAGTGCGCCCCAGCACACAGGAACTCCAAGCAAAGCCTTCTTCTACCCCGCCAGGTCCCCGAGGACTTTCGGAGTGGCAAGCGGCCAGTGGCCAGCGTACCTAGGATGTCGAAGCATGCTCCACTCTCCAGCCTGTGTTTCCTGTACAGGTTCTTCAGGACCTTGGCGCTGCCAAAGCGTTTGAAACGGCTCTTTACGTTATTGTAGAACCATTCCAGAGACTGGGTTCTCAGGAGCCTGAAGAAAACACAGAATTAGAAAACAGAAAATTCCAATTACGAAACAGGATTGTTGAATGGTGGATGGCAAAGTTTGCCACAATATTTTGTAGCTCCTTCTGTCAAAACGTGGCGTTTACTTCTTTACTCCTTGAATCTGGGCTGGCCAATGTGCTCTGACCACAGAGAGTAATGGAAGTGATGCTGTGTGAGTCTTGAGCCTTACAGCTTCCTCCCTTGCTGCTCTTAGAAGTCCTGCAACTCATCACCATGTGAGCAAGCCCAAACTAGCCTTTAGGATGATGGGAGACACTTGGTCCAATCACCCCTCCTGCCCCAGCTGGTACCCAGCCAAGCTCCAGACAGGTAAGCAAGGTCATCGACTTCCAGTTGACTGGAAATGCATGAGTGACCCTAGATAAAACCAGTAGAAGTACCATGTACCTGAGTCCCTCCCAAGAGCAAGTCGATAAATACTTGCCATTTGAGCCACTAAGTGATGCATCTTTTTAATAGCAGTCTTTATATTTGATACTGTTTCTGCATTAGCAACATTTCTAGTTCAGCTTGGGAAAATAAAAAGCACAAGTAAGACACTGGGCTCTTTGGAAAAAATTCTCCAGCCTCTGATTCATCCAACCTGAAGCACCATGGGAAAGCAGTTTCCTGGTCAATGCTGTAACAAAACACTGTACAAGTCTGTACAAAACACTGACATGATTCTTTCCTCTTCTGCCTGACAAGAATGGACTTCTAGGTCCTTCTCACTTTGCGGTAGCTTTTGTTGTTGTTTTTCTGACTATGAAAGTAATGATGCATACTCTTTTTATAGAAAATTCGGAAAAGCAAAATGAATATAAATGCTTCTGATTCAATGGAAGAATAAGCACACACATAGCTGCTCCTCTTCTCCAGATGCCAGTGAAATGTGAGATATCCAATGGGAAAGAAATCTATAAAAATCAAGAATGGGGACGAGAGCAGATTCAGAACATTGTCCCGCAAATCAGATGGCAGAGCTGGGACCTGTACAGACTGAGAGGTCCAATGTGGAGTTGGTGGGTGCAGAGAGCAGGCCTGGAATATGGGATAGCATTCAGGAAGCCAACTTAATGGTTGTGTAGACAATAGGGAGGCCTCTTGGTCCCTGTCCCTATTCCCAAACAAATGGACAATTTATCCTAAGTCAAAAATAGAAAGCATTTCTCTAAGAACACTGAACAATCTACTGGCAGAGGACTAGGAATTAAATGTGGGAGTTACCACCTTGCAGTGAAGCCCTCCTTTGTTTGGCACTAGGGGAGTCCCCACATGCCTGCCCATCAGATCCCATTTCCCCTGTCCAATAGAATATAGTATATACATTTACATCACCAGTATCATTGCTATGAATAAAAATAAACACCATAATTTGAGTGTTTGCTCTGTCTGAGGCACTGTGCCAAAAGCTTTCCTTGAATCATGATTTAATTCTCATGGGGGATAGCTCAATGTGTAAGCACATCGATGCAGGGGCAGGTTGGAAAGGCCCAGGCCCTGGCATTTGCTAGCTGTGTGGTCTTGAGCAAAGTAATTAATCCCTCTAAGCCTCAGCTTTTTCATCTATAAAATAGTGGTGATGACGGTGACAACTTTATTAGGCTGTTTGAGGATTAAATGATAGAACACAAGCAGTGAAGTATCTGGCACCATGTAAGGGCTCAATAATTTTGTACCACAGCTCTACAAGGATGAGTCCCACTTTTATAGATAATAAATAGAAACATAGTGAGGTTGAGTGCCTTGCCCAAGAGAGCAAGTGCCTGGGTGGGGATCAAAGATCGGAGCTCAACCACGCACTTGCACTAGTCACAGACACCCAGTGTGAAGAACCATTGGCTCTCTTCTATGTATTTTCCCCAAGGCTGGCCCCACCCCCTGGCAGCCACGTGGTCACATGACCTAGACCTGCCAATCAGGGTTGCAGTGGGGGCTTTTATTGTTGCTGTTGGGAAGAGGCTCTTCCTTTCTGCTGGGCTGGCTTCACAGTGGAAGGAAAGGCTGGGGCTGCCGGGGCCACCTTTGCCATCACTTGGGGATATTCGTGGTTTTCTGATCAAAAATAGATTTGACGGTGGGAAGGCGCAGAATCCTGTGGATAGACTCTGAACACCTGGATCTACTCAAGCCTCAGGTCAGCCCTTGGACTTTTCCATGACATGAACCCCAAACTTCCCTCTTTCTTTTAAGCCTTTTTGAGTTGGGTTTCTATTATTTGCAGCCGAGAGTCCTATGACTTCAAGTACGTCATAGGATGAGCTCTCTGTTCCTTGGCTATACCAGAACTCTACGGCATTCAGAGTATGTTAATGACCTCTAAAATAGAATGCTTCAGCTTGCTGAAGTCATGGAGTGAAATCAGGGCACCGCTGTGGAGCATGGGAGGATGACCCACGAAACCACAGCCTCGTTAGGGGAGCAGAAAGCTTTTCCTAAAATCGTGATGTGTTCTGGATTATGTTTTGACTTAGAGTGAATGTAGAGAGCTTTTCTGGAAGCCCCGGGGAAGGCTCGGTCATGATCACTCTCATCTGATATCACTGCTTTTACTTAACTTATTTAGAATTCATGGCTCAGAGGATGCAGGTGGTTCATGGGGCAGAGGCACGGGGACAGGGCTGTGAGGATGCCCCCAGCCAGGGTGGACTGGATACGTGTGCTGCAGAGCTCCCTAACCTACCTGCAGGCCCTCGTCTTCCATCGGAACAGACACAACTTCAGGCAAACGTAGATGAGAAGGAAAGAGCCTGTGTCAGCATCCTGCTGGGAAGGGTGGCACAGTGGGTGGGACCCTGCGTCTGCACACGGGTCCCCTCATTGGTTCGTTCATCCATTCTTCCATTCCCTATTTATTGAATGCCTCATGTGGCGGGCACTGCACTAGGGATGTGGGGGAGGGGTGTGGACAAAACAGATGAGGCGGAATCAAAGCCAAGCCAAAGGCGTCTTGGGAATGGTGGGACAGTGTGTGTTCCACAGGCCTTGGGTTCTGGATCATTCCCACAGACGCATGGGAAATTGGAACCAGCCTGCTTTATGTCTCAGGCATTTTCTTTAATGATGCCCAAACTGCTGCTACTTCTCAGTTGCTGTAAACATGTAGGAGACACTTTCCTGGTGAGGAGACTTGTAGTGGAAATCTTTGAACTTGAACTGTCCAGAGGGACCCTGCTTCAGTTTTTTAAATTACCCCAAGGTCTCCCTAAGGGCGCTCACACAAAGATTCTTAGTTCTGTACAGTTTCACAAACTTAGGAATGATAATCTCTCTAAATACTAAAGCTTTATAACAATCAGCAACAAACCTTCGAAATTCACCAATCACAATGTGGTCAGAACTGATTACTTGGAACTACAGTTTCTTCTTCTGTAAAATGAAATATGTTGGGCTTTCTAAGGCTGGAGGAAGAATTAGATAACTCAGCCTCATCCGACTCCCTCCTCTCTTCTCGAAAGCACACACCTTTACCTGAGCACTTCACAGCACTGTTTTAATTTGTTATTTAAGATCTGTCCTCACCGCTAAGTTAAGTGTTCATTAACAGAAGGAGCTTTTGCAGGCACACTTCACAGTTTGTACAATTACACTGTATCTCCTAAGATGATCTCTGCAAAGAGAACAGATTATATTGCTTTTTCTTTTTTTTTTAAACCCAAAGCATAACCACCTCTTAAGCTCTTATCTTCCTTGGCTTTACAGGAGGATTTTAAGTCTGCGGTGGATGAATTATTATTTTCATGGTTGACTCAAAAGACATAAATTTCCTTTATACTCTCTCCTACCTGCACAGTTTTTCATTTACTCTATATTCTTCTTTCTTTTCAGTGACTCTAGGCACTGACTCTAGGCACCACGTGGCACAGCCTTCTGCATTCTCCCAACGAATACTGTGTGGGACTCCACAGTGATCTCTGACCCATACATCGGCCCATTATATTTTTTTTCTAATTCCCATCAGGGACCAATGGTCCATTAGCAAACAGGAGCATCTCCATGGCAGCATGTTAGCTTTGACAAAAGCAATGTGCTGCAAGACTCTGAGGAAGGTAGGCTGCACTGGGATTGGAGAACGTGTCCAAGTCCAGGCTGGGCCAGCAGCGCGTGCTGTGTCACCTTTGTGGGCTCAGCTACCGGACACCATGCCATCTCTTTGCATTATATCCTGGGGTCAGACAAAGACTCTGTACCATCCTTAGAGATAGTCTGTTGGTGGGGCAACTCTCTGGGCAGCCAATGCCCAAGCTGAGAAGGGCTGGACAATGACCCTCATCGCCCCTGTTTGGAGCTTTGTGCCAGACTTACTGAGAGATCAAAACTGTGTTGGAACCCTTCCTAGTCTAACTCAGGGCCCTGGCCCAGGAAAATATCTCAGTGTAGCCTTATACTTTTCATTCCCACAGCTTTCAGACTTCTGGGGAATCACTCAGCCCCTGAAGCAGTCCGGCTCCTGAGGTATAAAACTGTGATACCACCAAGTTTTAGGAGTTACAGGTGGGCATGGAGAAGGATATTTCTCCAGCTAAGAGAAGTTTTCAAGAAGAAAAGATATTGGGGATGGGGAAATGTGTCCTACCAGATTTTAAAATAAATTACAGATATTTAATAATTAACACAGTGTGGCACAGTAAAAATGTAACTATAAATAGGAACAAACCTGGAAAGAAATGTTCAAAATGTATCTGTTGATATTTCTCGATAATGATATTATGGGTAACTTTTCTTTAATTTTTCAAATTGCATGAACCTACTCTTTTGTAAACAGAAAAGGGTGATACTGCATCTTTGTGCAGTTTTCCAAGTAAAGGAAGAATGACTGTACCGTCCTGGAGTGTGTCAGGAAGGCTCGCAGCCATAGAGAAGACGCCAGCCCCCTCACCAACTTGTGTGCGATATTGGGAGAGTGAATAATTCCTCTCTTTGCACCTCGGTCTCATCATTTTCAAACAGTGTTTACAAAATCTACCCTGCAGGTTGTAAAAT